AATCTGTAGGGTGTTATGTGGTACTAAAGTCAGAACAAGTTCTGAGCAGGCGTATAATAATGTTTACTATCAACCCTAACATGCGCTCTACCTCTACTGGGCCAGCATGCAAACTTTCCAGCATTCACTGAACACACAACTTCCACTCTCTCCTTGGCCTAGCACAGGATCTCCAATCTCTCCTTGACCCACTGCCCCTGCTGGCATCAGATCCCCAGGGGCTTCCTGGAGATTGTGAGTTGTGGAACTGAGCTAATACTTGCCCTGGCCACTCTAATCCACAGGCACTCTGTGTTTCAGCAGCTCAAGCTCCGGCCCTGGTGAGGTGCTACTCTGAGGACCATGATACTGTCACGCAAGCCGTAGGCCCAGTATCAGATATCACCTCTCCACTGCTGGGCATTACAAGTGAGCTCAGACTCATAGTAGCAGCTAGTGCTTGGAACTCGGGATGACAAGCAGCGGTGACAAAATCTAAGGACGTCCAGAGGCACATTCATGGACCTTTGCAGGTGGCCCCCTTGCCATAGTGCCAGGACACTGGATTTCAGTGCCCCGTATCCATTGAGAGATGCATGGCTCTGGTAGTTTGGAAGTTGGCAAACACCAACAACCTCCAATCCATCACCAGCCAGTTTGGCATGAGGGGGACAACAGCAATGACAGCCATGCACAAATTATGCAACACGTACTTGAGGAGCTAAGGCCTTGGTTCATTTCCCTGCCCCAGTTTCCTCATTACTCATTCAAGACTCATTTGTTAGTCCTGCACTGGATGCAGGATTTTGCCCATCACATCCAGTGGGTTTCACTCCATAATGGAAACAAAAGACAACAAAGGCTGTGAGCAACCCCCACCTTAACAATGGAGTTTAGACACAACAACAAACAATTCAAAACTGTGCATAGGAAAATTCCCCAAACAGCAAATCTACTTCCCTGATGAAGAACTGTGTGTGGTCTGAGGAAGGTCAGGTAGAAAGGCATGAGTCACAGGATCAGAAAGGGTTTCCAGTAACAAAGACAAAAGTTGGTATCAGACCTTTGCCTGGAGTAATCTATAACCATCTGCTAGAAATCCTTACCTCTAGATGCATTCTCTGCCACCTGTATCTATCACCCACACTGGAAGGCAAGGCAGAGTCTAGAAAAAAGCCATGACCTTGTGCCTAGGGTTGAAGAAAGCATCCATAAGGAAATAGGTGAGAAGAGTAAATAACCCACTGGGAACAGAGTCCTTCTGGAGGGAGAGATGGGCTTGAATAGGATCTTTAGGAGCCTTTGGAGGGAGTCAGGTCTTTGCACGGGAATGGGGACTGATCATCAAGTATAAAGATGATTAATATGCTTTGCGGCATAAAAGAAAAGAAAGAGGGAGGAGGGTGAGGAACTCTTCTTGTCCCCTTGTTTCAATTTAGTGAGATACCTGCAGCTGTTCTTTGTGCTGTAAAGGCTAAAAACTGACTGCAAAATATTTAGGGAAGGCACATATAATAGATATCAAATCTTATAGCAATTTATAGTGAAACAGCTCCTGCACTTGTAACACAGTTGTAAAGAAAAACGAGATTGCAACATTCATCTGAAGAAAGAGAACCAGACTATTTCTGCATTTCACAAAAGGAAAAAACCATAACATACTAAACAGGAAACAAACAGGATAGCATTTTATATGTAAAGACAGGTGGCCAAAAGCACTTGTAAATTTAATCCTGTCAATTATTAATGTCTTTTCAGCAATAATAATGTATGCAGCTTTTGTGCTAGGGAAACCCACAGAAGGATGCAATTCTGGCTTTCACGCTTGGCCAAGTTATACTGCAGAAAACTCATTTAGTATCACAGAACCATTTTGGCTGAGATCCTGAGTTGCTCAGGGCTGGAGAATTCTTTACAATACCCATTTCTTTTGCCTGTGGAACAGTAATTACGATTAGCAGAGACAACATTTGCATTTTTTTGTCTACAGAAGAGGTTTATGAGTTTTGAGAGTTAATCCATCTTTGAAATGCAGTAACAGCAGCACGTATCCATATATTCATGCATTCTGATTTCAAAACCCATTTAGTCCCTAATACACAAATTTAATGCATGTACTGACTTGCTGGCTTTGCCTCTATTTATACCCATATGTTACTCTGCATTTTACCCATGCAGTCATGCATCACACAAGTTTCACCACAGAACAAGTGGCAACCAAAGACAGGGTCAGAAGAATAGGCTTGCTAAGTGCAAAGGGTGTTCGCTCTGCCAGATCATCCTTTTGGCAAACAGGACCTATGGTAATAGCTAATTACATGAATATTTTGAACAGGAGTTATCTGCAAAATTGTAGGCAAAATTGAACATATATTTCAGAAAAAGCAATTGGCAAATTAGTCATTTAAACAAAATATCCTTTCTTAAAAATAAACCGAGTAGTAGGCACTGGTTAACAAACATGCTGAAATGGTTTATACCCGATTCCTAAAACAGTATTTTGAATGTACCAACAGTTCATAATCAGATAATTTGGAAAAGAGCTTCTGGCACTGGTCAGTCTCTTCTTATCTTAAGATTATATAAAAATGTCTATTACTTTGTGCAGTCTGGTTAATTTCTTAAGGCAAAGACTATTGTTCTAATTGAGTGTTTCTATATTTCTTACAAGTGAGATATCTATGGCATTAGCAGTACAGCATTATCCAGAGTGGGAACAACTCCAGAAGAAGCATGAAAATTAGTCAACACTGACATCCTAGCAGAATTCAGGTTCCTAATAGTCCTCCAGAGATTACTCCAGCACACCTGTAGAGCTAACCATCTTGCTTATTCCCAAATTGCTTAGGAAAATGGTAGCTAAATAGAAACAAGGAAGGACATTCAAATATGAAATGGATTCATGATGGAGACAGGACAAAGCTCCTATTAACTTATTTTACCATACCATATTTTCTTGCATACAGCATACTTTTTACCCCCCAAAATCAGCCCCCCAAAACTGAGAAGCATGTATTAAATGGGGACGCTGTTTTTCTGACTGGCATTAAGTATCTTGTTTTGATTCCTGCTCCACATCTTTATTACTATTCAGGCAGCTGAGAGAGTCAATTGACTTAATAGCTCATTGCTCCTCACTCCAGTGGTAGCAATCATCTTTCCTTTTTAATGACTTGGATGTTCCACTAATCAAGCTAACCCTTCTTAAGGCAATTTTGCTGTCTGATCTCGGTCTGTTTCCTCCTATTTCACAGCCTTAGAGATTGTTTAGCTTTTTTTCAAAATCAAAGATCCAATGGAGAACAGTCTTCAGCAACAGCCATGATTTCAGCTTTATTTAAGCAGGAAAGGGAGGGTGGGCGAGCTAAAGATTAGGCTTTGTTCCTACTCTATGCAACCCTAACCCTGGAAAAAATCATTTTTTCTTCATTCTGCTTTTCAAAAATAAGGGGTGCATTATATCCTGGAGTGATCTGTATGCAAGACAACACTGTGCATACTAGAGAAGACTCTCTGGATTGGCTTACCCGAAATGGAGTGTTGATCCGGCTTGTAAGTGTGTCTAGGATGTGTATATTTTCATGCTGGTGCAACAAGATAAAATGGAGAAAAATCTTGAGCAGAGCTGGCTCTGAAACGCTACGCAAAAAGAGGTCTAGGTATGCAGTTGTGGTCATCACCTCTTCCACAGTCACCTGCAAGCAGATACAAAATAAGCTACAAGATACAAAAAATGCTGCACACCTTATTGAACTCCACCTCTGACACCATAATATTTTCTGGCCTCCTCAGTAACCCCACTGTATCATACACTATCATCCTAAGAACATTTTGGAATACCTGTTTTTAAAAATCCAAAGTAACAAACCTCTGACTTACTCAAAGAATCAGACCCAAGAATCTTACTCAAAGAATTTTTGTGGCAATTTCAGCAATTCTATTATACTAGGGACACAAATTACACATAAACTGGTATAAATGATTGGAAACTGGTTCAAATCTGTAACACAACAGAAATTCGGTGCACATAAACTGTTTTCAAAATTGCCAGAATCAATGTAAGATAAACCTGGATGGATGTAGTATCAGACTTCACTGATTTAGGTTTAATCAATGTATTGACTGTCTTAGATCCCCTCCAGATTCAATTCAACTCAAGGTCCCCCAACATCCCAGGATGCTTTGAACCTCCCCTGCAAACCCCGCCTCTCAGGATGGACAGGCTAGCCTTGGCCCAAGCTGTCTGCTCCAGCAGAGCAGGGAGGTGTGTTCTAGTGATCCCAGCTTCTGGCCTGGGCTACTACAGGCATGTGGCTGCATTTCCAGAAACAAAAGCAAATGTCTGTTCACTTGCTTAGCCATTCAGTTTAACCTGTGAAGATTGAATCGATTCAGCCTTAGGCTTTTTGACTGTCTGTACTTAGCCTTAAAGACACCAGCCACCAGCCTTATATCATTCATTTGGTTCTGTTCTACCATGCACCTGCCGCTATACAGATGTGCATTCAGAAAACATTAAGACCAGCTATTTGGTATTCAGATAAATGCACTGAATACCTGGCTTTGTCACATCCCTAGAAATGAACAGTAGTAAAAAGCAAACTCTATATCTTTGGTTACAAACAGACATGTAATCAAGGACAGAGAGTTAAATTAAGAATGCAGATACATGTCTCTGCCTTTCCTCTCCTTTTCCCCCCCATGGCATTTCAGCCTCCCCCTATTACAACTGAAAATATACATAACATAAATTAATAAATAGTTTCTTACCAAATTTCAGCTCCAACTCTTTGCTATTCATGTGTCAAAAAGGATAAATGCATCTTACTTTGCTAACGCAGTCTTTTAGGCTTACCTCTTAACAGTATGTGCTTGCAAGGTGCAGAGAATTCCAAAGGCCATCTCTGCACCATGCATCGCTCTTGCTATGTCAGTTTTTTTAAAATAGTTACACAAGAGTTTAATAAGCTTAAATATACAGAGATAAACCCTTAAATATAGGAATCTGCCTATATGAAAGGGGGCTTTAAAAATCTTTTGCTTACCACTCATAGCTGGATAAAAAGAAGATACTTGTTTTATTAAAAAAAAGAATCAAAAGCTGTCACATAAAGGGTAAGAGGATTTAGAAAGTACTTGGAGGGACAGCATTTACAAAACATGCTGTAAATATTAAAATTCCAGTCCTATTATGCTGCATGGTTGTTCCATACAGGGTAATGTCATGTCACAAAGCTTCCCTTTAAGGCATTTCAGAACACAAACTACCTTTTGCTATTTACACAGAACAAGGCAAATGTTTTGTATGGTCTGTAAACCTAGTACAAGTGGAAGCACCAGTATACCCTCTCTGAGGCTTTATTTTGGTTACCTGTCCACCATATCCTCAGCATCAAGAGTTAAGGTAGTAAGACTAATTCACCTTTTCATTAGCAACAAAATACAGTATGAATCAAAACCAGTCACACCAGATTTTTGCCAAGGACTAAAAATAACTGTGTCCATTTTCTCAGTTTACTGTCACACATTTAATCAAAAACATCTCTCTCAAAAATAAGGCGGCACACAAGAGGATGAAGCTCACGGCAAAGACCTATACTGTACATGTCATCCTCACTGGCACTGCAGAATGTAAAACCAATTGGACATTAGCTGAATATATTATTTATAAGCCAGTGAAATATACTCAGCACTGTTCAGAGATGAGAATATGACCTTTGTGCACAAGAGCATGTAGAATTTAACTTAGATGCTAACAACAGAGTTTATATATATTACAAATGTACACAAACCTACATTAAAAGAACATTACGGTTTGCAAGTCAAGCACTCTGGGTAAGAAGTACCAGAATTAAGCCTGTCACTGTGACCTTGATTCAGCTCCCTGGTGCGTATACATTATGATCGTCTTTAATTATATGATTGCATTTTCTCCTAAGCACTGTTACTTTATTTGGTACACAGGATAAATCTGCCAGGGGATGAATCAGGGTTCAGTAGTAAAGATGATCATTCTCTGTAGGACCTCTGCTTTATTTGCTGTGGAAGTTGTATCACAAATGAGAGCAAATTGCAGGGGGTGGAAAAGTCTTTTGGAGTTTTTTTAAAGCAGAAAACTAGAAAACAAAAAACCCCCACATTCTATCAGGTCACACAAGATCCTACCTTCAGTTGTGTATAACTTTGCCAAAGTTTATCTGCTTAAGTTGAAACCTTTCGTGTTGGGGGTATCTCAGACTGACTTTTTTGTGAAAAATTCCATTAGAATTGCTGATAAAGAGACTGGAGAAAAACATTTTTTTCCAAATTAAAAAAAATTGTTGGTAATTTTTAAAAAAACCTCTGAGGCTGCCACAATTAGGATGGAGTTGGCCTTAAGGTCAGGAATGTGCCTTTTACCAATCCAATGAAAATCTATCCAGTTATCCCCCAAGGTATAAGCGTTTGAAAAACTGCTACGTACACTTTCTCAGGAAATATTTTTTAAAAATTCAACAACCAAAAATGTTTCTTCACAAATACTAATGAAGGGGTATTAACATCATTTTAAAGTACATAGAGAGTAAGGTGAAAAAGCACCCACTAATTTGTGTGAGACATCAAGGACCTCATTTCTTCAGAGTTCTTATCATAGAATCATAGAAAATGAGGGCTGGAAGGGACCTCAGGAGGTCATCGAGATCAACCCCTGCTCAAAGCAGGACCATCCCCAACTAGATCATCCCAGCCAAAGCTTTGTCTAGCCAGGTCTAAAAAAGCCACCAGGGATGGAGATACCACCATCTCTCTGCGTAACCTGTTCGAGTGTTTTACTACCCTCCTAGAGAGAAAATTCTTTCTAATATCTAACCTAATGCTTCCCTTGCAGCAACTTGAGACCATTGCTCTTTGTTCTGTCATCTGCCACCACTGGGAACAATGTAGCTCCATCCTCTTTCGAAACCCCCCTTAAGGTAGTTGAAGGCTGCTATTAAATCCCCTCTCAGTCTTCTCTTCTCAAAACTAAATAAGCCCAGTCCCCTCAGCCTCTCCTCAGAAGTCAGCCTCAGCCCTGAATCATTTTGGTTGCCCTCCGCTGAACTCTCTCCAATTTGTGCACATCCTTTCTGTAATGTGGGGGGGGGGGCAAAACTGAACACGGTACTCTAGATGTGGCCTCACCAGTGCTGAATAGAGGAGAATAATCACTTCCCTTGACCTACTAGCAACACACCAACCAGTGCAGCCCAGTATGCCATTAGCCTTCTTGGCAACAAGGGGGTGCTATTGGCTCATATTCAGTTTATTGTCCACTGTAAACCTCAGGTCCTTTTCTGTAGAGCTGCGGCCCAGCCAGTCAGCCCCCAGCCTGTACTGATGCATGGGATTGTTGTGTCCTAAGTGCAGGATTTTCCACTTCTCCTTGTTGAACCTCATGAGATTTGTTTTGGCCCAATCCTTCAATTTGTCTACGTCACTCTGAAGCCTAGCTCTAATCTCCAACATACCTACTACTCCCCCCATCTTGGTGTTATCTGCAAACTTGCTGAGGGTGCACTCTATGCCATCTTCCAGGTCGCTGAAGACACTGAACACAACCAGCCCCAAGACGAACTCCTGGGACACTCCACTTGATACTGGCTGCCAACTAGACATCAAGCCATTGATTACTACTCTTTGAGCCCGATGCTCCAGTCAGCTTTCTATCCACCTTACAGTCCAATCATCCAACCCATACTTCCTTAGCTTGCCTTGAGAATGTTGTGGGAGACCGTATCAAAAGCCACACTAAAATCAAGGTACACCACATCTACCAGTCTCCCTGCATCCAGAGAGCCAGTCACCTCATCATAAAAGGCAATCAGGTTGGTCAGGCATGACTTGCTCCTGGTGAATCCATGCCAACTGTTCATAATCACCCTTTTCTCCTCCAAGTGCTTAGACATGGATTCTTTGAGGATCGGCTCCATGATTTTTCCAAGGACTGAGGTGAGGCTGACTGCTCACCTCCTCCCCAAACTGTGCTGCCCAGTGCAGTAGTCTAAGAGCTAACCTTGCTGTGAAGACTGAGGCAAAGAAGGTATTGAGCACTTCAGCCTTTTCTGTATCATCTGTCACTACACTGTCTCCCTCATTCAGTAAGGGACCCACACTTTCCCTGATCCTCCTCTTGCTACCAACATATTCATAGAAACCCTTCTTATTACCCTTCACATCCCCTGCCAGCTGCAACTCCAGTT